CTGGCAACAGGGGAGGATGACCAGGGCAGCAAGGGCTTTCCAAGAATGCTCCTGGACCACCTGTATCAGAATCACCTGGGGAGGTGTTTAAATACAGATTCCAGGTTGGGCACATTGGCTGAAACCTGTATTCCCAACACTTTGTAAGATCGGGGCAGAAAGATTGCCTGAGCTTGAGGTCAGCCTAGGCAACCTAGCAAAATCCATTTCTACAGAAAAGGTTTTATAAAAGCCAGCCAGGTGTGGTGGCATGCGCCTGTAGTCTCAGCTACTTGGGAGGCTGAGGTGGGAGGACCACTTGAGCCCGGGAGGTCGAGGCTGCACTGAACCGTGATAGTGTCACTGGACTCCAGCCTGGGAAACAGTGAGACCTCATCTCAAAACAGACCAAAGGAAACAAAGCCCAGCTTCCTGGGCCCCACCTCCTCCGAATCTGACCTGGTATTACCCTAGAATCTGCACTTTAACAAGTACGCCGAGTCACTCTGATTCACATTGAAGTCTGAGGATCTTTGCAGCAGAGAATAAAGGAGTCTGCTCCAGTTGACTTGTGGACCTGCCTACAGCAGGGCCAGACCTTATGATGAACTGAGAAGTTCATAATAATCACACCAGCTGCTGTAGTTCAGCAGGGGAGCAGTGTCCCCATCCCCATGACATATTTCCCTTTTGGTGTTAGGGGGTCCAGTTCTGTCCCACTGAGAACACCAAAGCGGGGACACAGAACAGGGAAAGTGATAGTGGCTGTTGTACCCGTCAATGCTGAATCCCTCTGGTGTTGGCTGGGATGTTTCTTTGGTTGATAGATGGACCTGGGGAAAGCTGGCTTGCCTGATAAATATTGAGCCATTTGGGTTTAAAAGTCAGCACCCACAATTTCCTCACCAGCTGTCTGTCAGCCCAGGGAGGCCAGTCATGTTTCATCCACTCCATCTGTGCAGCCTGACCTCTGACAAATGGGGGCTTGGACAGGCTCACCACAGGCCACAGAGTCCCACCTGACCCCCCTACCCACCCCGACCTGAGCTCCTAATAAGCCCAGGTTTTCTTTGCAGAGAATGGTCATGTGTGCCTCTCTGAATTTCCTGCTGGCAAATTGAGTAAACAAAGATGTGTTTCTTAGGGGGCTGCAGGGGTGATGGGGAGTGGGGGCTGCAGGGGTGATGGGGAGTGGGGGCTGCAGGGGTGATGGGGAGTGGGGGCTGCAGGGGTGATGGGGAGTGGGGGCTGCAGGGGTGATGGGGAGTGGGGGCTGCAGGGGTGATGGGGAGTGGGCGTAGGTGCCTATTTCAGCCACAGCTACAAAGCTAGGCTTCCCTGGGGCTGGCGTAGGGGTCACAGGGTGATAGATTTCGGGTCTTCTTGCTGGGGAAAGAGCTCAGACAGGTGTGGAAAGTCACCCAGCCACACCCCTTCCTCTATGGATCTAGTAGGCATTTCCGGTTGTTGCCGTTTTTGAGATTCTACGTAGAACTTGGGACTTCTTCAGAGAAGACTCTGGGAGGGCCCTAGGATCCAGGCTAGGATTAAGGCTCCCTGCTTCACCCCTACTTTCTCTCTGGGATGATCCATGGCCCACTCTATTAGGCTTCTCCAGAGAAAAAGAACCAATAGGAGATTTATAGATGCCAAAGAAAGAGATTTATAGAAGAAATTGGCTTATGTGACGATGGAGGCCAAGAGCCCCAAGATCTGCAGGCAGCAAGCTGAGACCCAGGAGAGCTGATGGTATAGCTGCTGCTGGAGACTGAAGGCCTGAGGACCAGGAGGGACGATGGTGTAATCCCTAGTTTGAAAGTTGGCAGGCTGAAGACCAAGATAAAAGTATTTCAGCTCCAGTCCAAAGGCCAGAAAAGACCAGTGTCGGCTGGGCACGGTGGCTCCCACCTGTAAGCCCAGCACTTTGGGAGGCTGAGACGGGTGGTTCATGAGGTCGGCAGTTCGAGACCAGTCTGGCCAACATGGTGAAATCCCATTGTTACTAAAATACAAAAATTAGCTGAGCATGGTGGCATGTGCCTATAGTTCCAGCTGCTCGGGAGGCTGAGGCAGGGGAGAGTTGCTTGAACCTGGGAGGAAGAGGTGAAGAGTGAGCCGAGATTGTGCCACTGCACTCCAGTCTCGGGCAACAGAGGAAGACCATCTCAATAAATCCCCAAAATTATCTGGAAACT